CAGTAATCCTATGTATGTAGATAATATTAAACACTAGTATATACGTACGGGTCATAATAATATACAAAAAGAATAAATCGTTTATATTAGAAATTGTGCACTTTTGAGTTTGTAAAAATATTAGCCTAATAAGGATACATGCTTCCAATTTCAACAACGTTCAGTACATTGTTTTCACAATAAATTTAGCCTCTGATAGTCGTTGCACCCATAAAATCGACCTAGTGGGTTTCTGAGATGGTTACAAAATGTTTAAACAATTGCGTTTTTACTTGGTTTTGGTCCGGAAAATACGTACCGCACTTAGAAAAGTGAACAGACAAAATTCATGAGTCATGCGTAATTGTTATTCTTTCCATTCGGTTGTAAAAGTGGAGTTTTAATTATAGAAGATTGGTGAAAGGTGTGGGGGGGGGGGACAATCGATACCATCTCCCCCACTTTGAAAAGTAGGCAAAAGCAGCTTTCTTAGCTACGTTTTTTGTCCGCTGATCGGTTAATAAACGTATTTCATTTTTATTTTATCACTGAAAAACAACTACTGTAAAATGTTTAGCCCATAAATATGATGTGTGTGAAGAAAACATTAAACAATAATTTGGACCTTCAAAAAGCAGTTAAAAAGAAATGGCTATGAAATTTTAGGGGGGCTAAAGCCTGTTAAGCCCCCCTCTAAATCCGCCCCTGTACCGTCACTGAAAAATGTAAAGGCCTTATAAGCAAGGGTACTTTAGGCCAATTTTGTGATGTAAATTATATATTCGATGAAAAAAAAAACCATAATATTAATTTTCTTATTATTTATTTAAATGTTGATAGGAATAGTTCAAGATGGCTAGCAGTGAATTGAATCAGTTTCTGGAAACTGTTGATGAGAAGGTCCTGGAGTGTACTATTTGCTTTAAGAGACTTCAAAATCCTAAATTTCTCAACTGCTCCCATAGTTTCTGTTTGGCGTGTCTGGAAGACTGGGTTAAGACGAAGGGTAAGCTGACATGTCCAACCTGCTTAAAATCATATTCCATTCCACAAGGTGGACTTCAGAAGCTTCCACCTAATACATTTGTGAATAACTTACTGGAAACTATTGAACAAATTTCCAAAAGAGATCAGATGAAATGTGTTTGTGCAAAAGGGCTGCAGGCAAAATACTACTGCCAGGAATGTAAACATTACTTAAGCTCTACTCAACTGAAGGCAACATGGACACAGTCTACAGGAGAAACCAACAAAACTCAAATTGATGAAGATGATAATGGAGATTATTTTGTGACAGGTAAATGTACCAGTCAAGGTATTTGTACGCTAAACGTTAGTGCTGATGGTGAACCAGTTAGGCTGTCACCGGTGGTAATCAATGTAGAGAAAGAAGGATTAGTAAATACCATTGAAACACATCAAGAAGACATTGTAGATGTAGTTATGTGTGAAGATGATCACTTGTTGGTTTCATGTTTAAAAAATGAAATACTCAAATACAAGCAATCAGGAGAATATATTGGGAAGCTTACACTACCACAAAGTGTGAAAATCTACAGAATGTACAACATGAAGAATGGTAATATTGTATTCGGTGATTGGGTTAATAACTACATCACAATACGTAATATGAATGGTCAGCTGATCAAATCCTTTGGTAATGGAGGAAAGATGCCACATGGTATCCATGTGGATGAGGCCTCAAATATTGTGTATGTAGGATATATGTCAAGTGTGTCAGTATACAACATTGATACTGGGCAGGAGATCAGGAGCATAGGGACTTGGGGTGATCAAGAAGGTCAAGTCAAAGCAGTTAATGACTTTTCCCTTACTAATCAAAGAAATGTTCTTGTATTAGATACATTTAACAACAGATTACAACTATTTGATAATGAGGGACGGTTCATGAAAGTCCTTGTCAGAGCAGGTGATGAAAATGGTAAAGTGATGAAACCACGTGGAGTAGTAGTTGATCAGGATGACAGCATTATTGTATCAAGCAAACACAAAATACAGTTATTTAGTAGTGATGGAAATTTTATTAAAAGAATTGATAAAGAAGAAGATGGAATCAAAGATCCATGGGGACTATCCGTCATTTCACATCATCCACGAAGAGTTGCAGTAACAAACCGAGGTGACAAAACAATAAAAACATTTAATTATTAAAGTATAATCTGTTTCCCCCACTTGCTTTGTTGTCTTCAAGGATGCATAGGATGTGATTCTGTTGACTAAATTCTATAAATATATAAATTTTCACACTATATCATTGTATTGTGAAAATGTTGGTATGAAAACAAATCAAATAACATGTTCATGTTGTGGTGCAGTGGATTCGATCACACGACCCCACTAAATTAAATAAAATATTATTTTACAAATGTATTGTAAAAGTGTTAATGTAATAATATAAATCAAATAAAATCTTAATGTTGGGGGTTTATTTAAATCTTATTTAAATCTATGCGTATAATTTGAGATTTTATATTATCTTTTCTGTTTACTTTGGTTACTGACAGTTCATTTTTATAGAAGTATATTACTGTAATAAATATTTTAATAGTAAACTGTTAAACCCTACCTGGTAGGGTTAAATGCCAAAATGCGCTGATGTAGCTGCTGCAACTTTATGGAATACTCCCCCAAGGAGCTTGAGTTTGTGTTCTAATGACCGAGGGTAGTAACATGAAGCGCTTAGAGGCCTTGTTGGCGTTAAGCGCTATATAAACTATTATTTTTATTATATTAAATTATTATTATTATTAAAGTAGGCCTATGTGTATTAAAATGTATATTAATTGTTGATCCTATATGTCATCATTTTTATTTGCATATCCACTTTTTTAGAGTGAGCACTACTTTGATATAATATACAAATATTGACTGCTCATGAAAGGAGTGGTGAAATCTATTGCCCCAAGGGGATGTGGAGACTGTAGCCTATCTTTCCGAAGACCGAAGACCCAAGGAACAACAGGCTACAGTCTCTACAACACAGAGGGGCTATAGATTTCACCGAAAATATTAGAGCAGTCAATATTTTATTTTCCACCTGTTGGACAGGCCTCAACCCCGTCATTTGACGCATGACTAGGTCGCAAAAAAAATTAGCCTATCTACATAACGTTACTTTGACTGCCAATTCCTAATATGAGGTCTAAAAGCACATTTTGGACATTTCTTCCCGTAAACCCCACAAGGGAGTTGTGATTCTTGGCCATCAACAGAGTTTTCGTTGACCCCTTGGCTCAGACCCCTCTGTCGGCATCAACAGAGTTTTCGTCGACCCCTTTGCTCAGACTCCTCCGTCGGACATGTCAGACAACTTGACAGCAAATTTCTGGCGCCACTGCTGGGTTGGGGCACCACAATGAAAAAGTACATGATCGCATAAATCTTAGTCTAAAGTTAATTCTATTTTTTTCAACTTCATTTATCACAAATGAGGTATGTTATTTCAAACTAAGTTTTATTTTATTTAGCATGTCATTCAAAAATCAAAAATTTGATCATTAATTTATTGCCTGTGGGAAAGTTGTTTCATTAATAATAATAATAATAATAATAACAATAATAATAATTGTGTTTTGTATAGTGATAACCAAAATAAATCATATTTTAATTTTATTTCTTTCAAAACAGTATTAAGCTAGTTATCTAAAATGTGTATTGCACTATTTACAGTAGAACTGTACAGGGACACCTTCGAGACTAAAAAATGCCCCTTCAATAGGGGTGTTTCCTCAATAGAGGCTGGCCGTACATAGTCTGTATAGTGTATACTTTTACTCATTCCATGGCTGTCAAAGTGTTCCCTTAATGGCAGCGTCCCAAAGGAGGGGTTCTACCGTATGTTATTTTTGTATCAACGTACTTGATAAGACTTTGCATAGTATTATATATTTATTACATATTCGGCATAACAAGTAAGAAAATGGCCAGAAGGGTGCCAAGAGGACACCATGGGCTGAGAGCCCAACACAAGGTGTGGGTATCCTCTAAACCCCCTGGCCAAACAAACAAACAATAACAACAAAACAGCACAAAGGCAAAGACGACATACTATAACTCCGAAATACCAAATGAATAATGTCTGAGTTTTTTTTATAGGTGTCTTATTTTGTATATGGTCAGTTTTTGAGAAAGTATCATACGAAAAAGTTGTTAGCTTAGCATTTTTCATATTTATTTAATAAAACATGTATTATAAAATGTTGCCAAAAATGTAATAAAAAATATGTTTTTCTGTGAGGCAAGAGCTGGTGATGAGGATTCACCCTGTTGCCAGCTTGTAACAAATTATGCCTAGGAAGAATTCTTTTTCTTTTTTAGCACTTTCAGTCTGATGGCCACCCGTCTATTGGGGGTTCATTTAAATCATTTATATTTCAGATTCTATACTACTTTTTTTGTTTACCTACCTTATACAAATAGGTAACTGGAAACAATAATGACAGGTATAAAGCAGGGGGGTGCAGGGGATTGTTCGAAGCCCCTGGACTATTTATGAAAGTTTTAATTTGTTTATTTGGCAATAAATCATAAACTAAAGGTATTCCTTGATTTACAGGAAACACGTTATATCGTCATTGCGGACTTGTAAAATCCGCATACGCCTTAAAACTAAAAGAAAATGCATACGTTTAGAGTCCGTACTGAGCCCAAAAAATCCGCAATGAATATATAACGTGTTACCTGGAACCTTTGACTTTATATTTCATTAGTTCAATTTTTTAAAGTGAAATTTATTATCACATGTTAAAATATCTAATCTAAGATCTAATAGTACCATTTTTATTAGTTGTCATCCCTAATTTTAAACATTTTAAAAAGAATACAAAACATACTCTTTTCTGTGATTTGAATTACTAACAGCTGCAATTAAAAAAAGTATTTAACAGTGTTTTTTTTTTAAATATATGAGAGTAAGTTATATAATTCCTACAAAAAGTAATATAAATGACAACTTATTTGACATCAGATTCTTTTTAAACAACTAAATTATTTTCATTAGGGGCCAGTTTTACCTACCTGTCATTTGGGACCACTTTTACCAGGGCCATTTTTTCTACGGTCTTTTTTCAGCCAAACAAAAAAGATACAGTATACCTCCTGTGGGACACCCTATTAGGAGGACACCTTTTAGTTGCAAATCAAGAGAACATACATATTTTAACCAGAGAGGTATTAAAAAAAAAAAAAAAAAAGGTTTTAACAATCCAGCCAACCCCTTTGGGTCCTGAATTAAACTGTACTTTGACATTACTCATCCAGTGATGCATGATTGCACACAGTAACCCAGACAATATCAGGTCACATGATTAAATATGAAACCCTGGAAAAACCCACTTCCTGTTGGGAGTTCCACATACAACGTCAGATCAACAAAGACAACTGTGTTATTAAAAGGTTAGATTAATTTGTATTTTTTAAATAATCTGTAAGATATGTCTAGTGTGGATATACAATAGTAACTTAGTAACCAACAGAAATAAGATAAGCTTTGAGGCTAAATTTTTGTCCTCATAATATGAGGACAAGAAAAAATTCCTAACTCCATAACGATTGGTCGTATCACATCACAATAAATTATGTTCTCAAAAGATTATTCTACACCGCTATAGGATTAAAAAAAAAAAAAAGAAAAAAATTGAAAAATATTTTGACCCCTGAAATCAAGATGGAAAAAACAAGAGCCTATCTAAATACACTTCTATTTTTTTTTTATAAGAACACATTTTTTATAAGAACACTGAGGCTGAAATTGCTTAAAAATTAAGAACAAAATAAGAACAAATTGAAGCTGAGGTAAAATGTCAAATGAGGTTTTTGAAAAACCAAAAAAATATATCTGTACCTTATGTGCAGTAATACAGGTGTAACTATGTAATACTCCCCCTCCCCCCACCCTATAATCAGGTTATTATTGTTATTTGGGGCCATTTTTGCTGTACAATAATAATTTTCTATGTTTGAAAAGTGTGTAAAATAAGAACAAATTAAGAACATTTTGAGCCTGAAATCAGCTAAAAAATAAGAACAATGAGCCTGGGCATAATTTTACTGGTTCGTATATAAAAAAAAAAATGTAGTGTTATTAAATAGGCCTATGCATTACAGTGCAGTAGCATAGTATTTTCGTGTTATTACTGTTCGAGGTACCAATAATATACAGATTTCTCTTATTATAAAGTACAAGTTATGTTTTATAAAGAAGTATAATATAGTAAATCATGTTTTTAACACAGAAAAACCTCATATGGTAACTAAAACAATGCTAGTTTAGAGTATTGCTAGTAGTACTAGTACTACTGTACTTTACTGTATAGGATTATTTTAATATACTCTTTAGATAGGCTTTTCTTTTTCGATTTCGGAGATCAAAAACATATTTTTCAAATTTTTTTTCAATCATATTGTATTGTAGAATAATCTTTCAAAGAACATTTTCCAGAAAAAAATACGACCCTCCGTTATAGAGTTATAAATTTTTAGATAACATGAAGACAAGAATTTAGCCTCAAAGCTTATCTTATTTCTGTTGGTTACACACCCACTGACTTGAATTGTTTGTCATCACTTCAAGATGTCTACCGATTTGAGGAAAAGGCGTATAGCTACAGTAAAGCTGGTTTTCAACTAGGCGAATTTATTCGTGCGAATCGAAGCGTCAATTTGCTTCCTGAGCTCTGATTGGCTGCGCATTTTTTTCGCTTCGCAAAAACCCTGATAGGAATGCGAATGCGCATGAACCGACGCTTTCGTTTCACGCGAATAGATTCGCCTTGTGGAAAACAGGCTTTATCTATGCACAATATAGCTTTGAAAAACCTATTTTGTTTTTCTAATAGCTTGAAACACAGATACAGTTATTTGACAACAATTAAATGATTTCTTTTTAAACTGTCTTAACCAGTAAATGACTTGGTCTAATGCACAAAAAAACAGCAAAATTTAAATTAGTAGCAGACTTCCAGGTAGCAGGGGTGGATCAAGATTTGAAGCAAAGGGGTTTGAAAATTTAAAAAAATAAAAAACAAAAGAAAGAAAAAGAAAGCAGGTACTGGATAACCTTGATTCCTAGAAGATTTCCAACTTCTAAGGGGCCATCTTTATTAACTTTTTCTAAGTTTTTAAAAATTCAAGGTTTTCCCCTCTTCAAAAAT